TGGCTGCCAAGCCCACTCCATTGCCTAGCTCGTTGACGTCATCCGAATGTGCAAACTGGTCGAAGCAGACAGGGAGGATCACCGTCGGCACTCCAGACGTCAGGGAGGCATTCGTGGTACCCGTGCCCCCGTGGTGGACAATGACGCAGCAGCGCGGGAAGAGCGATCCGTGCTGAGCATACTTCACAAAGAGAGCATTCTTCTGGCTGTAAGACTTAAGCTCTTCTGCATCCGGCTCCCCATCCACCAGATCCAGCGACATCTCCGACCACCCGGCACAGAAAACCCCCCGCAGGCCAGTCAGGCGGAGAGCGCGCAGGCACAGGAGGGTCATGAACTTGGAGCTTGTGCCGATCATGGAGCCAAAGCCAAAGTAGACTGGGGGCTCCCCAGCTGCTAAGAAGTCTTCGACTGCATTTGACATCTCGGATCCAAAGTCAGGGCCGACCTGCATGGCATTCTCGGCCACCATCGGCCCGACACGGATGATGGTGCTGCTGAAGTCCGCTGGCACCTCCCGGTGCAATGATGACTCGGTAACCACGTGATAGAACTTGCCGTCATTGCCAAACATATCGAAGAAGTCTTGCAAGGTGGGCGCAAAATCAGCCAGCGGCCTTTGGAAGACCTTTTCCCAAACAGGTCCCTGTTGCGTCTTCCACTGCCGCAATGAGATTGCGGCAAAAACATACCAGCCCAGGCTTGCACGAATTCCAGGCCGAGTTGCTAGCGGCGGCAAGGGGATGGAGCTGCTGGCAACAAGTCCGGTTTGCAGGCTGATGTGGATGCGAGGTATCCGCAGAATCACACTTATGGCATACATATTGCAGGCCGTGAGGAGGGAGTGCAGGAGTAACTCAGGCTTGAACTGCAGCGCTGCCTCATGGATCGCCTCGCATTGCTTGAAAAGCCAGCCTTCTGTACGACATTCGTCCGCCACCTCTTGCATCTGACCAAAGTTCTGAATCACCATGCCGTCAACGAACTTCTGGTTAGTGATGCACTTCTTTGTAAACCACGAAATCACTTTGAAAGGGACGCCGAAAGCTTCCGCCAGGTCTGTTGCCTCCTCACTGACCAGCGCCAGAACGTCAAATCCGGAACGGATGAGTTCTCTGGCCATGACCAGGAATGGCTGGTTGTCTCCGCGACTGCCGTCGAAAGCGATCATTATGCGACGGCCCATGGCGCTGGCACTTCGCGGTTGTCTGGTCGCTGAGAGGTTGGGGAAGGAGCCCGATGACTTGAGCCGTAGCCATTTTGGTAGTATTAACAATCTCGTGAAAGGGAGGGATACGATTGCGAATGGCTCAGATCTCTATATGAGGCCAAGATCCGTCTGGCCTGGAGGAGCCACGGCCTGGTAAGGCAAGCCAGGCAAAACCTGTCCATGAGCTTGAGGCCTACACGGCTCTGTAGGGGCTCAGTTCAATACGGCTTGTACAACCGCCGTTCACGGGTCATGCAAGAGCTGTGCGATGGTTTCATACCATGTTCCTATCATGATGGCTTACATCAGCGCTTGGACTCTTCTCCCTGTTGGCATTGGCATCGCTGAACTATGCCTCTCCCTTGTCCTCTTCTTATGTCCTTGCACTCACAGTAATCATCTGGCAGCTCAAACACGTTTCGTAGGTCAGGCGGACTTACGTGTTTCATGCCTCCTCCTGCACGAGCTTCATGGCGAATGAGGCATTGAGAAGCGCTGAACCCACGCGTCACGGAGCGCTGCGCAAGTGAAGTTTACGGCTCACCGGCTTGAAAGTACGAGCGAATATACAGTCTCGCGCTCGGACTATATCTGCTACAGGCTGAGGGTTCGGCCCAAACTTAGGGTTGACATGGGTTGACGTGGTTGGCGTTTTGGGGTATGCGCAATCCAGCAAGCAATCCGGGCACAAAGCGAATCGAAATCATGGCTTCCACGCAGGCAGGAACTTGAATCATCTGTCTGCATGCTCTTTCTTGGGTCTGACATTCATTCTTGCAGCAGTCGCTGATTGCAAGAACCAGAGCGGTTGCAATGCACAACATGTAAAACCAAACTCCTGAGGATGCATTAAGCCAAAGTGCAAAGACTAAAGCCGCATGAATCCATCCAGTCATGCTGTGTTTAGTAAGAAAGGTTAAAGCACAATCTGCCACGCCTTTGGCGAGGGAGACAACGCTCTCTGTGGCAAGCTTCCTCTCGGCAAAGGGGCCGAGTTTCTCTTTGGAAGCTTTAGGCTGCGTGGTCAGGTTGCAGGCTAAACCGGTAACTAGGCCCATACAGCATTGAGACTATGAGACTACGAGGTCTAGGGCTTGAGCCTTTTAGGGCATCGGGGGTTGATGCAAAAAACGTGTCGGATCTTGAACCCTGGCCCTGCGTTGGCGTGGATGCATCATGCATGGGTATGATATGATTGCCCTGCAGGCATGTGTAGAATGGCTTTCTGGAACCTGTGCAACTAATGCTCGAATGCCAGCGGTATGTGTGTGTCATATACATTAAGGGTGTAGATACGTGGGCACATACAAGCCCGCGCAATCCGCGGCAAGGACATCCCTGGGTCCGTGGACCTGTTGTTCGACAGTGAAAGAAACAGCTCTCCAGACATCTAAGCACACTGCCGTTGCAGCCAGTTACAGCGTGCTGCTACGGCATGCAGGTGAACTCGACGGTTGCCCACAGAATGGCTGTTGTTCGACCCGGCAGAGCTGCGGCCAAAAAACGACTCTCAACTTGCTTCGGCTGGACAAAAGCCTAAGTTTCACCCATAAGTCCAACCGGCTGGATCCTCAGCAACCCCCCACCCCTCAGAGCACCTGAGCTGAAGCTGTTGGCCGATCGTACCTGGCTTCAGACGGGGCTTCCTGGAATGATTCGCTCGAAGGGGAGATACTACGGATGAATCGTATGTCGCATTCGTGAGGGTGGCAACAGAGCGAGTCTTACTACTCTCATCACCGCGCTTGCTATGGCTGCGATTGAAATTGAACAAACACTGATTATGCGCCTTCCCTCCTGTCTGCAATTACGGCTCTGGGGATGATACCCCCTTTAGACTAGCAAGACAGGTGGGAGATAGGTGCGTGCCCGGGAAAGCACTCCCGCACAACCAGAATCCGAAGTAGCCCCAAGCCCGAAGCTCGAAGCCTTAAGCCCTCGCCTCACCCTGAGCCCTGAACCTTATAGGCCCCTTTCTTGAGCCGCTTCACAACCGGGGCAAACATGGGGATCAAGCCCTTTAAACCAAGCCATAGTCCGCTAATACGGGTCCAAGTAGGATCCCTTTCACTAGGTGTTCAAGGCTGTTTTAGGCAGGAATGCCAGTTTGCTTTGCGATGTAAGTGCTGGCCTACGGCCTGAGCCGACGAAAGTGCCCTGCCCAATCATCAGGGTTTAAGGGGGTTTTGGGTTAACGGTTATGACACATGAAGCCAGGAACGCACAATAAGGCACACCTGGCTCGCAAGAATCAGCAAAAATAATGCGTACTGTAGGGAAAGCGTGTAGCACCGCGCCACTTAGTCCGAAACTCTGTGTGTGCTCTTGCTGAACAGGTGCCAGATTAGGGGATCGCGCCGAGCATTGCGGCGACCCACCCAACACCTGCGGTTCCCACAGAGAAAGCCCAAAAGGATTTAGAAGGGCTTCTGGGTAAACGGGTAAGCCCTGTCTGTCACAGGCCTATAGACCTAGAAACCGCAAACCCAAACCAGAAACTTGCGGTTGGCACACCGTTGTGCACTGAAGATTTAACCAGGTATGAGCGCTCGTCAAGACTCAAGACTGACGCGTTTACTGTTTATAGTCTGAGCATGGACGATTTGAGGGAGTCCTATCGCTTTAAAGGGAGTACAGCGATAAATTGTTTCGCGTACTTGTAGTGGTGACGGTAGTGGTGGTTTTGGGATTCTGGTGACGGTCATGGTACTGGTCACTGTGATAGAACGACTGGTAGTAAAAATGATGCGTCGGTAACAGTAGCAATCAGTAGTAGCGATACTAATCGTGGTGTAGCAAACGCAAGAATTATAATTGATTCCACCATCAAAGCTGGGCAATGGATACACTGGATTAGCCGGCATCAGCCGACAACCCTCGCCACAAATGTCGGGTTGAGGCAAGGTGTCCTATCGCCTCTCGACGGCTTCGGCCAATTTCCGCATTATTGGCATCCCAAGCTCACCCTGTACGCTCTTATAAATATACGTTATGCAGAAGCTTTGGCGGATGCGGATGTGTGCCTGAACATTAATTTGAGCAGGCCTGTTAGCCAAAGCACAGCTTCGAAGCTCGAACCAACCCTAATTGCCATGGTTGTCCGCAACGACATGTACTGCCACAAGTGTCCACACACCGGGCCCTACAACCCATACCCCAAAGCTACAAGCCGTCTAGTTTCGATCTTTTCCAAGAATTCTGTGAACTTCAGCTTTCTAGGCGGAAGGCCTGGGCTGGATTGACCGTCAAGCTGAAGCTCTGAGGCGACAGCAAAGCAGGAGGTGCCTTCATCTGACCCAACTCAAAGCCTACAATCACTAGCTGTCCTTCAAAGGCATTGAAAGGCCCCGTTTCCAGGAGATTTCGGAGCGGGGCTTCGGGATGTTTGAGTCCGGTGCTTGGCCTATTGGGAAACAATGCAGACACCCGAACATTTCACTATGCTGAAGGGCGAGCCGAGATGCCACCAAACTTCCAGTCGATGGGCTGAGCTGTCCCGGGCTTCCCGGATAAAGCACGGGCCCGGTGCCCCCGACCGCACGGGGAGGAGTGCCAACGAAAGTCGCTGGGTGTGCCGGCAGCTTGGCAGCAAACTGATGGGGCGACTGTGCCGCATGAGCACTCGGTGGCGGAGACTTCGCTGTCGGTGGCAGAAGGCCTCCAGGACTCGCCAGGCCGTTGGGATAGCTGGGCGGGAGGTGCAGGGAACCGACGCCAGCGGGGCAGCCGCGCCCGTCAGCTAGTACGGTGCGCCCGGGGCTTGTGAGCATCGTGCGGTTGGGGTGGCTGGGCGGGAGATGCAGGGATCCAGCAGTCGCGGAACCGACGCCAGCCGGCGAGGCGCGCCCATCCGTTGCACTGCGTCCGGGGCTTGTGAGCATCGTGCCATTGGGCTGGCTGGGCGGGGGGTGCAAGGATCCAGCAGTCGCGCCACCGACGCCGGCCGGAGACGCGCGCCCATCTGTTGCGGTGCGCCCGGGGCTTGTGAGCATCGTCCTCCCTGCCGGCACTTGCAACGACCCAAGTGGAGCCATAAACGCGGGGAGTGTCACCACCTGACCTCGGATGCACAAGTCCGAGTGCAAAGTGCAGCGCTTTCCCGCCCTTTACGACTGCAGCCGCGACGATCGCGACGGCTATGACTGCTCCTCCTGCTGCTGCTTCTGCTGCCCCCACCGCGTGTGAACTACACACTGTTCCCACTGCTACTAAGTATTCAAGTTGCCATACTTGTTTACCTTACGTTGTCTCTTGATTGCAGCGGTTTTGCGACCATGCTGTGTGGTCACTGGCATCACGTGTTTCTGATCCTGGCTCATGCGTCATTGGTTATTCAGATTTAGACTTATAGATAAAAAAAGACTGCTGAGCTTCATGAGGCAAGGCACCAGCAGGTGGCATCCAAGAGACGCTTTTGCA